GTATAGTGAATAACCAAATTATTTAGGGTTCTATAGGATGTGGCAAGGATTTAGGATTTTATTCTAAGAGCAGTGTAAGCCATAAGAGATTTTATATGGGAAATAACATGATCGGATTAAGAGTTTTATTTTGTTTTGTTTTAAAATCACTGTGGCTGCCATGTGGAAATTAGATAGTGGAACATTTTTTAAAATTAGTTAATAACAAAGACATTTAAAAACTCTGTTTCACTATGTATAGTATACATATGTCCATTCTAGAACTGTTAAAATTTAGTATCATTCATCTATATTTATGATATATATTTTCCTTATTTCACATATTTTTGAATTGAAAAAGAGAATGTAGCTATTTTGGGTTAATACTTACTGAAAACACAAAAAACTTGTGGGAGAAACATGGATTGGGTTAGCATCCTAGGACATTCCTTTGCACAGTATACTTCATGACAATCTGTAAATAAAAAATGCATCATACTTTTTGTTTTTGTTTGCTCTGGGTTTTTTGTTTTGTTTTGTTGGTGGTTGGTTTTTTAGAAATATACTGGCTGAGCCAGTTGCTGAACAAGTTTTTCTATTTCACATTTGTCAAATTAGACACTAATAATTTCAACTGAATCTTAGTAGCTGTTTTTTCATACAGAATAAAAGCAGGAGTTGTAAATTCAAAGTATTACAGGGACTGGCAGGTAATTGTGTGAATCAAACCTATTATAAGACTGCAGGGAGAGTTTGGGCCTGTGGCCAAATTGGAGAATATAGGCCACGCCTAGTGATATTCAAATTCAAAATTTTTAAGAAAATTGGGCCAGTCAAACAAAACAAATCTGCACGCTCAATTGGCCATAAGCCACCAATTTAAGGTTCCCCGTCCAAAGATATTTAAAAATTCTAGGGGACAAAACTGATAAAATTGATGATTCTAGAGGTTTTAGTGATATAACTTCTTTGTTGCTTAAAATAGATGATCTTTTTCTCTGATGACTGTCAAGTGTAAATAGATGAAATCATTTTGGATATAGGCTTAGCTAAAGATAAAGAATATATTCTTTCAATAGACAATGATTGTGTTTACCTTCCTAGAGCAAGGTTGGTGTCTGGCAATATTTTTAGACCTGCTTTTTGTTGCTATATTGATTTAACATATGAACAAGAGTGACACTTAGAATGTAGAGTATGATTTTGAGAATGCTAAAGCATCAAGCAAGCCTTATACTGGCCTTTCCATTAAATTATTAATTCAAATTAAATCACTTTTAATGTAGTGTACATTTTGAATGTTATTACAGTGAACCTTTAAGGTAAAAGAAATAGGGGACTGAGTTATAGCAAATGTACACTTTTCTGAGAAAGATTAATTTGAAACCATTAATTAATTTGAAGCCATTAATAACCAGGGAAAAATACTTGTACATAAGTAGATTCCTAAATTAGTGGAGGTTGCTTCATATTCACTTCAGGCAACAAGGTGAGGTAGGAGACCGATCAGTGGTTGCCAGGTACATCAATGTGGCCCATAGATTTTGCATTCGAATTATTAAAGAATATTTTTAATGTAAAAAGACAGAATTTTGATTAAAACAGCTTATTAAATGGAGACAAAATACTTGGAGGAAATGGCTGGTTTCATTTCTTGATACCCAAGAGATTATCCAATCTACTTTTCGTGACAGACAAGTAATGAAGCAGATATAATTTTTTAAAATGAACAACCTTTTTGACACGATATTCATTTCAAATATCTGTAGCTATTATACATATGAATCATAAATTAATTAATTATGGTTGAAAGTATTGTGTATTTTGTTCTAAATCCTTGGTAATTATCTACCTTTGGGACCTAAATCAACTCATTATAGAGTCGTCATTAACCAGAACATCTTGTTTCTTTTTCTAGGTAAATACAAGGGTACTTCACAAACTTCATGATAAGATTAGTATTACCTTTCTATATTTCTATGAACTTTCTGAAGTACTCTCATATTTGGGTATTTTTATGTATAGAATTTAAAAGCACCAGGTTTGTTATTTTTGACAATGATACCCCAAATGTCCCTTTTGACACAATGCATGCCCTCTAGTGACATGTTATATATTTAGGTAGAAAATATCAAGAAGAAACATGATAGTTAATATCTCCTGAGAAAGGTAATTTGCAATACGAATATTTGTGAAAGTGGATTTTCAACCAATGGGGTAAACTGTTTCACAGTTCATAAAAGCACACATTAAAAAATCTACTTAAAATCTGAAATATGTGAAAATGTGAAATATGTAAGCATATTATACACCAATATCATATAATATTGGCAATATTAATAGGTCTTCATAACAATATTAAGTACATTTATGAATAGTCTTAATATATTAATAATCCCCTAATATGAATTAGTTCTTGACTATACGGCATTCTTAATAAGAGACTGATGAGAAAAGCAAGCTCCAACCAGAAGTCTGTCTAGAGATTAGCTGATGATATAAATCAAGTGAGAGGCTGACATTCTCTTGTGAGACTGTGAGATGTAACTGATAATTCAGTTTCTCTGCCACAGTAAGGCTGTTGCAAATAATTATCCTTACACCTCATCAGACCTAAGAGAAAGGCCTGTCACACCATAGGAAATTAGGTTCTGTGTGCTTAGTTAATGTCCCTTCACAGCATGGAAAAGCAAGAAGCTTTGCAAGCTGTGATTATATTAAGGATTAAAAAAAAATGCTTTTCTACCATTAGAATTCCTAAATGCAGTTGAAACGTCATACACAATCTCACTTAGATTAACCTACTTTTGCCTGCAATTCACATTGGCTTATATCTTATCAAATACTCTTAAATTGGAAGGCTTAGGAAATCAGCAGATGTTAAAACACATTTTCTGGTATTAATCATCAATAATATGAGGGGAAAGGCTAATGGGCAGGCATTGATTAAAATTGATCATTTCATAATCCCAAGAAACATATATTGCCCAAGAGAAGCAAGCCATAAAGAAGCATTTGCAATTAGTGTTTTACCCCACCATTTTAAATCTGTGATTTCATTTGTAGTGTGCTAGGGAAAATGAATGATGCCAGGGGTTGTAACCAGTGACTATATAGCAAATCATGTAAAAGATTCTGATTGTAGCATGTTACTTGATTGATTTTTTTACTATCAAATAAAATAAAGCTCTATACTTTCTTCATCAATACTAGGACATTCAGACGTTGAAGTCAAAGTGAAGAGAACCTTAGTTTTATCAGACTAAAGATGATTGCTTTTATCACCTGTTTCTAATTGATTTTCTAATGCAAATAGTTGTTATAGCTCATTTGTCCTGTGTTGAAACTAAATCCTTTTGGGGGACACTTACGTGCCCTTATGTTTTTTCCCCTTACACTGATGGGATGTTTTGTACTTCTCACCTGTGATTTTTGCTATAATGAATAGATGAATGGGTAAAACAGTTCCTGTGTTGTTTGTGGTCTATTAGAAGTGGGAGTGGTAGGTAGAGGTTAAAGTAAACATAGTGCATTGCAATATAACAAATGCTGTCAGTAATGAAGATACCTATAAGGTGCTCCTGAATCACAGAGGGTTGCTCTGTGGGGAACATGATCAAAAGCCTAATAACTGAGTATCACCAAGATGTTGCTACTGATATCAATCATAAGATAAATAGCACATCAAAGTCAATGGATCTAAGAAAGGAATTTCCATCCCTTCCTACAATTTCATTAGTTTTACCTTTTTCATTAAAAAAAAAAAAAAAAATCAGGCCCCATGTATATTTCTCAAGAATGAATGACTTTTGAGTAATGTATTCATTAAAAATAAACATATCGGATACTAAAGTCAGCCTTAATTGTATATTCTTTTTATTTAGTCTGCATTAAACAATGCAGACATTTTACTGCAACAAAGACCATAACATTTTATAGTTTTCACAGTTACAGCCCTTCAGTGAAGCTTTGGGATAAAGCAACCAGAATTTCAAAGTAATCAAGCCAACTCTGTGGCTTCGTATTAACCTGAACTATCACACATGTAATGGGGAGTTATCTTCTATAATATAGGGGAAGCATATAGAAAATATGAGAAAGTTAACATTATGAACAAGAACAAAACAGGAGTAGGAAACAAGAGCAAAGGGATAAAACCTTTGTAAAAAAGAGAGTAAATTACCCATTTAAAATGGAAAATCTTTGCAAAGGGAAAATAACTCAATAAGTCACACCTCTCTCCTTGTGGTAAATATTTTTGCCTCTGTAACTAGATATTGGTTTCTCTTCTCCAGAGTGAGATTACCTGGTTACTTGGGAGTTTATGTGTCTGTTAATACACATTAATACTTCTTGGTCTGCAATAAAAATGTTTGTGTCTATATCCTCAAGGCTTACAAATAATTAAGTAGCAGCTCTAAAGGAAATGTGATAACCCCTACCTTCTTACTGATTTTTAAATTTGTCTCATGAGTACGTATATTAGGACTAAATGGTTTTATTACTTGTAAAAAGTAAAGTGAGTAATAATTCAACTGAGTAGAGAATTCAGGCCATTAGAATACTTCTACCTACCAGAACCTCAATTATTCTGATAAGATGGTAAATGATATTAAAAAAAAAAAGTACATTATGAAATAAAAAATAAAAATAAAAGTCATGTTAAATGTTATTGAGACTAAGATTTTTAACTCCTTTTTCTGGTTGACCAAATGTACATCCTCTGAAACTTTACTGAATGAAACCTTCCACTATTTATGAAAAGCCCAAATGCTCTGTATAACTCAACCAATTAGCTGGTCCCTACACACTGATTTCTTGGAAGCATGTGAGAAAATTACTCAGATTCAGATTTAGGGCATAAAGACTAATGAGAAATGGGAAGGTACTGAGAGATTACTGGGTCTAATCAGAGCATACTTAAGTAACCTACTTGATCTTAGAAGTATCCCAGCAAAATCATCACACTCAGGTACTGACCAGAATATTGCTGGTCTCTGAAGAATGGGAAAAATGAAGCAACAACAAACCAGGTGCATTCCTTGATTTTTCAGATAACACAGATTTAGAACAAGTAATTCCAATATCACAAGTTTACCTCTAACATTTCAAAATAATTCCCAAACACTAAACACTTAACCTAATACAGCATTCTATTGCCCCCAAAATGGAATCTTTGTATTTTAAACAGCTTACCAAAAAATATATCTTATAATTTTGAGGTAAACTTTATTACACAACCAAAAATCTTAAACTATCTTAGTACACTACCATTTTAACAGGTCACCTTTTAGTCTTTCTGTGCAGTTTTCACATAGTTTTACTTAATATTTTAAAAATGTAGTTAACATACTGTAGACACTTTAATATGGCTGCATATTCTTTGTAATCTTATTTGATATGATCATGTTCAGAGTTATTTTTGTATATATGCACAGTAACATAAAATGAACAAACCCACTCCTTCATCCCCTACCCTCAATTAAAAATAAAAGGGAAAACAGAAAGAAGTAAAAGGACAAGAAAAAATGAAATTAGATTCTAGGAAGAGGGAAACACTAATCATTCAAGTGTACAGAAGTCAGCTTTTTGCACCCATTCTCCATGCTACAGAATAAACTTTCTGAGACTACAGCCAAGTATTTTCTAAAACCTTCAAGAAGCTCCAGTGGATTTCTGGATTTGTTCCTTTAAAATCAGGATGCTCTGCCTTTGCTCAGGAGGCAGCATGGCAATCTGATCTGCAGTCAGTTGAAGAACCTGCATGATCAAAGCTGCCTTTTCTTGATCCTGTGGAGTTACCTGGCTCTGCCCAGGACTAAAACCACTAGGCTGGCCACCACCTTGCTTGCTTGCCCCCTGCATGCCTGCTCCTTGTATGCCCACTCCCTGTATGCCTGTCCCCTGCATTCCTCCTCCTTGTACACCTGCCCCCTGCATGCCTGCTCCTTGTATACCTGCCCCCTGCATGCCTGCTCCTTGTATACCTGCCCCTTGAATGCCAGCTCCAGGATTCCCCACCCCTGAAATGCTTGGGACCTGTCTGGGTCCCTGAGGGCCACCTGCCCCTATATTAATGGGACCAGGGCCCTGGATTCCACCGGTCATAGGGCCTCTTGAACTGGGACCAGGGCCCCTCATCTCCAATCCTCTTGCATCCATGCCTCTTGCTTCCATCCCTCTGGTTTCCATTGCACAGGTTTCCATTCCTCTTCTCTCCATTACTCGTGCCTCTGTATACCTGCCCCTTGAATGCCAGCTCCAGGATTCCCCACCCCTGAAATGCTTGGGACCTGTCTGGGTCCCTGAGGGCCACCTGCCCCTATATTAATGGGACCAGGGCCCTGGATTCCACCGGTCATAGGGCCTCTTGAACTGGGACCAGGGCCCCTCATCTCCAATCCTCTTGCATCCATGCCTCTTGCTTCCATCCCTCTGGTTTCCATTGCACAGGTTTCCATTCCTCTTCTCTCCATTACTCGTGCCTCTAGGACCTCAGTTTCCATGGCTCGAGTCTCCATCCCTCGAGAATCTCTACTACCTCTGCCATCCATAGAAAGACCCCTTTGATCTATCATGGGGCCTCTGGGCTCTCCAATTAGCAGTCTGGGATCTGCTAATGGCCCTCCCCTCATCTCATGTGAGGAAGGGCCACGGCTGTCATGACCAGCGGCATGGTGCATTGGGGGACCCTGATGGGGTGGGCCCAGATAACCTCTGGGCTCTTCTCCAGTGACTGAAAGCAAAGTCCCTCCACGTGGGTCATTTGGAGCATCTCCTAACAGTCCTCGAGGAGGTAGGCCACCAGCAGTCATGGGTCCACGAGGTATAGGAGCTCTAGGATCCGACATCTGCACCTGTCCACGCTCTAAAGGCACTGGGCCAACCCCTGGCATTCCAACTTGGGGCTGCATTGCTCCCCCAGGAGTTAAGGAACCAGGCCCAGGCCCGGGAACTGCAGCTGGTATTGGCCCCGGAGCTGGAATTCCTCCCTGTATAGGAGTCTGCATCAGAGGAGGAATATCCTTCACAGGTCTTCTAGTCAAATGCTGAGGCTGAGAGGCTGAAGGATTCTGCTGGTTCAGTAGAACACTAGGTCCTGGGCAGATCCCAGGCCCAGGACCAGGCCCAGGACCAGGACCTTGGCCGGAGACCGACTGGGATTTGCCTGGGATCAGTGGTGTGACATGAATCTTGCGATGCAGAATTTTCAGAGCAATCTCTGGATCCATGATCCTCATTACTACTTGTGCTTGCAACAGCGCATAAGCCAGTTGCGGGTTTTGAAGTAACATGTTTCGGGCTTCCTGGTGACTGTTTTGAACACAGAGCTTCATCTGCTTCATCAGCTCAAACATCTGCTCTGGGGGGAGACTGGCGACTGCTCGGGTAATCGACTCCGGCGCATCTTCCGGATCGATGGGGTCCCCATAGGGTGAGTCAATAATGGGCGCTGCAGGCCCAAGGCTTTTTAGCTCCTCCTTATTCTTTTCACTGGCAGCATTGTCCACCCGAAGCGCTCTCCCACTGAACTCCCGCCCATTGAGGTTCCGCATGGCACTAAGCGCGGTCTCCTGGTCTTGGTACTCGCAGAAGCCATAACCCTTGGGTTTTCCCGTTTCTCTATCGTATACCAGCCGGAAACTGACAACGGAACCAACCTCCGAGAAAATGTCCTTTAACTGCTCCTCGGTCGCCTCATACGGAATGTTTCCCACGAACACGGAACGCAGTGATCGATCCATTGCCGGGTCTCTCACCGCCAAACTCGACATGATTCCGGTTGTGCACCCAGCGGAGAGCGGATTCTTCAAGAGTCGTCCTCTCGCGACCCTCACTTCCGCTGAGCAACGGAAGCGGCTCTCAAAATCCGGACAGAAACCTAACCGATCCGCTTGAATCGTTCCGCTTCTCCACGGAATCTGCGTTTCTGTGTCTCACGAATTAACTGATGCTTTTCGCCTCTGACCCTCCGTGTTTCTGTCAGCTCCTTGTTATTTAAACGCAGGATTCCTTTCCCATCTCTTATTCGGCAGACTTTCCGTGGCGCCCCGCCATTCAGGCTTGGTGCGCGTTAACCATAATAAAGATGGCCGCGTAGACTTCACCATGGCAACTGGAAGAGGCCGCCTCTCGTCGTCAAGGGCGGTTTTGCTTCCGTTCGACTGGCGGGAAACCGCCAACCGAAAGCTGACGTAAATCTCGGAACAGTTTCTCTTTATTATAGTATATTTAAGTTATATTTAAAATCACATTCCAGATTATGAGGCAATAGTGTAGTCGTTTCAAGGCAGAATTGAGATTTGCGCCTTAAAATACGAAATAGCTCCTTTTTAGAAAAACGTTTCTGGAAATTAACCGCTTAGAAATCCCAGCTGAAGCGTGTCTCGGCTGAAGCGTGTCTCGGCTGCAGCCCGCCCCCGCCCTGCTGCTTTGTGTAACGGCTCTTAACAGATAGGTGGCCGATCCTTCTAGGGTCTTCTCTGTGCACGCAGGCAACGGTCGTACTATTGATAATATAATGGGGTTTTCCTTAATAATATTAGCCGATTTTAATATTAGTGGTTAATAATAAATAACATGCTAGGCTTTAGAATATGGATTTCTGAATTTAACCATGCTTATATTGTGAACATTTAGATTGGTTCTGATTTTTATCATAAACTGTGATGCAATGAGTCTACCACCTCTACTCTAAAGGGAAAAACAAATTGTATTTGTTTCTCTTCTGCTGCTAGATTTGCAGGCAGAAGTCGAAACACACATTCAGTGTGGGATTCCCGGCCCTGCCATTTGACGATGGCACCGAAGCTTGGGGACGGCTAGGTAAATTGCCCAAGACCAAGCAGCCCCGCCATTAAAAGGTAAAGCCAGCTGGGCGTGAATCAGTGGCGGGCCAGGTGTCCACAAGCTCCCGCTGAGCTCAGGACGGCAGCTAAGTGCCCTTTGGCCCTGGCCACCCTCAACACAACCCTGCTGACCCCAAGCTGGATTCAGGCTGAAGAGGCGGCAAGACACTGACACCGGCCTCTTGTTGACAGTGGGGGGGGGGAAGGAGAGGTCCACCCTCCACGCCCCGTGCAGCTGTGCCTCGTGGGACCCAGACTCCCCAGATTCTTCAGGGTGCAGAGAGGTAGGGCACCCAGGCCACCATGTTGGGGTGCACATGGACCCAGGCTGGGACCTAGGGAGCTCTGCAATCCCCAATCCTCACCCTCCGTGCCTGAAGTCCAGAGCATACCAAACTTGGGACCTAGGTATCCCGACTTCCCAGGCTCAACCTCCAGGGTGGAAATTATAAAGCACAGGGCACACGCAGGCTCCACCTTCCCGTGCACGGAGGCCCTGAACCAGGCGTGCTGACCCTCATTGCACCTTGATTACTGGGAGCACCGGCCTGGAAAACAAGGCAGCCAGTCCATACTGGGGAGAGGGCCAGAGCACAGGACTCTTAGAATGGGAGAAGCGGCGGCTATCTGCCTCCTCACTCCCACTGGCTAGGGGTCTTCACCGGACTCAGAAGGTGCTGTTAGCACTGTCTCCTCCCTGGTGCTCCCTCAGTGCCCTGGAATCACCCAGGGAATTGGGGTTAGGAGACACCCCCAACCTAATCCCAACCTCTCACCTATAGGTGACCTTTGGGTGGAGGCTGAGGGACTAAGGAGGAGCCCCTCCCCCCCGTCCATGGGGTTTCCCCTCCATCTGCCCCTTAGTAGTTCCTAGCCATCTTCAAGGACTTAAGAAGACACCCCCAACCTAATCCCGACCTCTCACCTATAGGTGACCTTTGGGTGGAGGCTGAGGGACTAAGGAGGAGCCCCTCCCCCCTGTCCATGGGGTTTCCCCTCCATCTGCCCCTTAGTAGTTCCTAGCCATCTTCAAGGACTTAAGTCAATACTTGCCAGAAGTTGGGATGGCCTGTTAGCTCAGTTGGTTAGAGTGCAACTTTATCACACCAAGATCATGGGTTTGGATCTCTTTACTGGCCAGCCACCAAAAAAAAAAAAAAAATTGCCAGAAGTTACTAAAAAAATAAAAATAAAAATAAAAAAATAAATCTTACCCAAGTTGGTTTGGCATAGCTCTAGAGCTGCACTGCTCTATAGGGTAGCCACTAGCCACGTGTATTGAGAACTTGAAATGTTGCCAGTGTGATTGGGAATTGAGTATTGATTCCACTATTCCCAAGACTATGCCAATCATTTTATTCTAGATACTCCTTTTGAGGGGATTATGGAACTTTAAGTTTCAGCAAAAAAGTTGTATGATGTATCTTGAATCCAATGAATAAATTCAAAATGAGTATGATGTTCTAGCTACAAATAAGACAAGGCATCCATTCACACTCAAATGTTTTAATAGTTCCTTAAAACAATCTTGGGCATAGCTGTTCATCCAAGACACGTGACAACTTATATCAGCAAGTGATAAGGTGTACTAATATCACCTAATATTCCTGCTGTGCCAAAGAAACAGATGGCCACCTAGTAGTAATAGTGTTGCTTTCTCCTCCTGAAATTGTTTCATTGGGGCAAGGGTGGAGAGAGTTGAAGATAGCATCATTTCAGAAAACTAAAAACAAAGCCATTTATTTCTTTTTCATTCCATCCCCTTTCAAAGAGAAGCCAGGCCTTTTTTACACACATTCTGTCAAGGACAACTTAAACATTGACTATGTGTGTAATTGTGTGTATATTAAATGTAGTAATCATGAGGATGGTAATAGGCTATATTAGAATAAGTTGTAAAATTCAGAAAAGGTTGTACAGCTTATCTGACAAGTTTCTTTACTGCTGTTGTTGATAGTGTCTACACCAGTGGTCCTCACACTTTAGCATGCACCAGAACCACCTGCAGCCACGGCTTGTTAAGTTGAATTCAGATTCTGAAGGTCTGGAGAATTTGTGTTTCTAACAAGTTCTCAGGTGATGCTGATCTGCTTGCCTGGGGACCTTTAGGAATCATTGGTTGAAGGGATTTGAAGTGATTTTTCTTCATTTGCATCAGGCCAAACTACACTTAGTACACTGTTAAAAGGTGTGAGTTATAAGGTGGTTTTTAAATATATATATATATATATATATATATATATATATATAAATTTTTCCTGCTGATTTAGTAGAGCTGTTACATGCTGATCCCATGCTGAAGATACCCTGTGCTCAAAGGTTGTGCACACACTAGCTGAGAAACTCTAGGGACAAACAAGAACTGGGAAGCTATGACTATAGTGTGTGCTATTTGTCACAGGCTTTCCATGTTCTCTTTTGTCCCCCTATTCCAAACTAGAATGGTTTTATATGTCTCCCTTCATACAGGACCAGTGTGACCCAGCATGGAACTTGAATCCCATGATATGCAAACTAATATTTATTATCTGAATGGCCCAGAATCATCAAAAATTCTTAGGAACCTATATACATTTCCTGGTACTAATACATAGTTCTCATACTTATAGATCTAAATTGGAAGAAAATCCACTTTATACTGATTTTTTTTTTTATTCTTGTAAAGTTTAAACTTTAGATATGTATAACATGGCATACGTTCCGAAGGAAAATGTGCATGGCATATTGTATGTTCAGGTGTTGATTCTTTCAATAAATCAAAATATCAAATATACTAAGAAGGATTTTTAAACAAACACTCAAGGGCGTATATGGCCAAATGAGGGCTGTCCATCAAATTAATCACCTTCAAAAACTATAAACTTAATCCATCGTTCAAAATGATTTTTAAACTTCTTCCCTGAAATTTTGGGGGCCTCCATTTATATCATACTAGGAAATTGGTGTCTTAGCTTAAATGCATAACTCGTTTTCAAAAAAGAACAGAATTATGCAACTGAATCACCAAACTTTCAGACCAGATTTGGCAAAAATATGAAATTTAGCTATTTCCTAATATTAAACCTTACATTTGAAAAAAAAAAAAAA